TCATTTATATAAAGAGACTATTCAAACATGTTATTTTTTTTAATAAAATATGATAGACTTAACATTATGACATTTTTAACATTGACATTCATATTTATATTTTCCATTTTACCAATGATATATTTTTTGCCTCTTTACATTGTTTTTTTAATAAACCTTCAAATATTTTTTAAATTTTATATATGCAATATTGGTGTCATATGAAAGATCGTAAAAAATTATAATTTTTGATATATATTTTTTAAAAATAAGAGTAAAAATGAAAAAGTTGTAACATTTTGAAGAAAGTATATAGTAATAATTTTAAAACAATGGACCCCATTAATATTGATGCCACGTTTTATAATGGAGTGGAGTGATACAAATGGTTATTATTATCTTCATAGAGTTGGTTCCTTATTATTTGGGAGCTATTATTAATTATTAGTCCTTAAATTTGACACATGGCATTTGTATATTAAAGGAGTGAAATATGGAGAGAAGGACACATAGGATTCATTAAGGGTATAATTGTCTTTTAATGAGCTATTTCTTTTCTTATATATAATAAATAGATTACGGAGTATGAGTTAAAACTTAAAAGTAGAACCCCACGAAAGAGTGTTTATCATTTGGATCACTTCTCAAGCAAACCCAAACACACTCCGTATTTTTATTTTATAGGCACGACAACACCTTACGAGTGTAATAATGGGACTGTTTGTTTTTCAGCGGATTCATGCCAACCCGCTGCTTTTAGCAGCGGTTTGTAGTTCAAAAAGAGTAGCGGATTGCTCAATCCGCCGTTATACAAACGGGACCAATACCTAGAAAACACACAAAGAAACGGCACAAGCAATTGGAGCGACGATGAAGACAATTGCGGCCGCTACCACCATTCCCTTAATAAACCGCCAAAACAACATATTTTCATGCTACAAAACGGACTCTCATTCTTTAAACTTTCTAAATAGCATTAAATGCTCTAGTGTACCAAGTCATGAATTAAGCTCAAAGTGAATGTAGTACTTGTGACGCTAATGAGAAATGTTGACGGTTTTTCTAATTTGTGTGTGATACTCGCCTTATCGTCACTAAACTCAGAAGTCAGAACACATATTCTCGAGACTAAGATGATGTCGGGAACAAATAGAGGACGTAATTAATTTATTCCAAACTTAGCTTGACTCCATCTGGCTTGAACTCCGATTTACATTTTAACATAGACAGTTCCCTTTGATGATTACTTAGCTTACATGAGGCTAGTGTTTGGAGTTAGACAGTCTTTGGAGATGTTAGTGTTTTCTTACGTTGTCCGGCTTCTACCTATGGACAACTCTACATTGCGATTTCAAGAGTAACATCTCATATGCGTTAAAGCTTATTATATGTGATGATTTATTAAATGTGATGATGGCGGATAACTTGTAAAAAAAGACTTCAAATATTGTTACAAGAAAGTCTATATACAAATTTATAACCTAATAGTTTTTTTAAAAGTCATTTAATTTTATTAAAAACAATATATGCACTGTTTTATCTTTATCGCAACATTTCTTTATATACATGTGATTATTTTCAAATAATTTAAAGCTTGCAATTGCATCCCGTGCAACGTATGCGTGCAAAATCTAATTGTCACTTAAAAGCACTAATTTCAATTTTTGCAAATAAAAAAAACTTTTTTGAAATTTATGCAAACTCTCCATAAGAGTTAAGACTGTCTCATTATACTCTATAGTTGATAATGTTTACATAAATCTAAATCGTTTTATTTATTCAATCAATTAATATCAACTCTTTCTTAATAAAAGTAGTACTAGCATGTTCAGGCATCAGCTGAGTAATCGCTACAGTTTAGGCGCAATGACATGGGTTCTTATTTAAGAATGAGTAAATTTTTAAAGTAGGAGCAAAACATGGTCCAAATGTAAAAGCAAGGATTATTATTTTAAATTTTCTAAATAAGAAAAATTATGTGTGTTGAGACATAAATACTCATGGCCGAACCGATTTAGGGAGTATTTGCAACTGCTTCTGCTTAAAAAAAGCACTTTTGGAGATGTAAGGAAAAAGTGATTAGTAGTAAAAGTTGATAGTGTTTGAAAAAAATGACTTTGAAAAGTAAACAATTGGTATTGTTTGGTAAAATAAGTGCTTTTTGTGTAATAGAAAGGGGAAAAACACTTTTTACACGCAAGCCGAGAAAAAGTAAAAATTGCTCGTGTTTGGTAAATAAGTGATTTTTTAATCCAAAAGCTTAGAAGTGCTTTTTTAAGCTGTTGCAAACTCCCTAAGGGAACAATTAATTACCAAGCAGTTGTCGTCCGTCGCCAAGCTCCACCGCCGCCATCCCGTACCATTCCGCCACCCATGGCCGGTCCTAGGGGGAGGGCAGCAGGGGCGACCGCCCTAGGCCCGAAAAAAAAATAGAAAGAAAATTAGGCCAAACTTTTTTCTTTATACGGAGTATGTAATATGAGTATGCTTCTTTTTTATTTATAATTTCAATTAATTAATTAGGCCTAATGTGTAATTTTTGTTGACAATTTGAGAATTTTAAAACACAAGTAAAAAATCTTGAACAAAGCTAGACAAGCTTTTAAAAAGAATACAAATTTAGTTTTGATATTTAAATAGAGTTTGTTGTAAGTCAACACATTTGTTGTTGAATCAATAAAAGAACGTCTCTTCACATCTTTTTAGCTCTTAGACTTTTTATTCTTTTAATTACAAAATTACCAATTTATATTATTGTCTTTGGCCTACCGGTGCCTCCCTATTCTCAAACATCATCCCAATTATCTATTATGCCTCAAAAAACTTAATGGATTATCAATTTTAAACATTGCACATGTGATCTTAGAAAAGATTGATTATAAAGCAATTGTTTATGATTATACTTCATAATGTTCTTTTGTGATACGTGTGTTGTTACTTTTGTCCAAATATGCAATTCAAATAATACGAAGGTGAATTTCATCTTTATTTTATAACCTTTATTAGATAGTTGTAGGGAGATTTCCTGAAATAGGAATAAAATATTTTTAGAATTTCAAAATAGGACTGTCATGTGTTTATTTTCTGAATAGAAGTAATTACTGTCATGTTCGAAAAATACTATCATGTGTAAAATATGATACTGCCAAAATATGACATTAATTACTTCTATTTAGAAAATAAAAACATGATAATCTTATTTTGGAATATACAAACGTTTTTAGTCATATGTAGAGTAATTTCTCTTAGTTTTATTGTACTCCGTAATTTTTACTTGGCTAAAGGGTCAAATAGGTACATGAACTAACTTAAAGTGTTCAATTATCTCCTTATATAGGAGGTTCTGCCTGGCCGTCGCCAATTGGAGCAGTTCCCGGTTGAATTTTTTGATGAAATTTTTTGAACATCTTCTTCATTAAGTCTAGTTTACCCATATCAAATTTCAGCTAAAAATTAAATCGGGAAGGCAGTCAAATGATTTTCCGAAATGTACTGCGTTGTTTAACTGCACAGTTATCTTCGAAAAATCATTTGACTGCCTTCCCGGTTGAATTTTTAGCTCAAATTTAGTATGGGTAAACTAGACTTAATGAAGAAGATGCTCAAAAAATTTCATCAAAAAATTCCACCGGGAACCATCCCAATTGGCGACGTCCGGGCAGAACCTCCTATATAAGGGGCTAATTGAACACTTTAAGTTAGTTCATGTACCTATTTGACCCTTTATCCTTTTTACTTTAAGTAAGTAAAATTTACTGTTTGTCTTGGAAATAAAGCCAAAATAGTATATCGCCCATAGGCCCTAAACTGGACAGGACCGGCCCTGCCGCCACCTGCGCATTGACCTTAGTTATGTAAAGAAATTAGGGAACAATTAATTATACTCCACTCGTCCTACTAACATTGTGACATGCATTCATAAGAAAACCGAATTTTGTTTATTATTTAATGGATAAAGTATAAATAATGTAAAAAAACTTAAAACAACATAAACATGACCAAATTTGGTATAATTGCTAATTAATACTCCTTGGGTCCCTTACAACTTTGCTAGTTTGTCATTTTTGGTTGTCCATTAATTTTGTTATTTTCCCTTTAAAGTAAAAAATTTATGATTCCAAATAATTCAAATCTCAACTATACCAGTTTTACTTTATTAATTGAGGAAAGAGCCAGTTGAGTATACCAACTTGTATAAACTGGAGTAAAGAGTGCATTATATTGCATTTGACATTCGTAAGTGCATAAACTTGGTTATTTAAAGTTAACTGAGTACACTTGTAAGATTAACACGTTAATATTGCTGAGTTGGCTAACAGAATGCTGAGTAAGAAGAGGTAATGGACAAAAGTTATGACGCCGACCTTCACGAAGTCGGCCAAAAAGGGAAAAATGACCTTCAGCCGTATGCGTGGACCTGCGGGTGGCGTCGGTCAGCAGGGGTGCATCGACCAAGGAGACATCGATCTGTAGGGGACTATCACCGATCAAGGGGAAATCGATCAAGGGCATTCAGGGGGCTAGGGGCTGACATCGATCTTCAAGAAGTCGATATATTGACATTCTGTTAGTCAATTTAGCCGTATTAACGTTTTAATCTAACGAGTGTACTCAATTGACTCTAAAAAATCTGATTTTGTATACTTAAAAAGACCAAATGCAACATAATACTCCCTCCGTCCCCTTTTAAATGTCTCGTTTTACCATATTGGGATGTCCCTATTTAATTGCCCCATACCTTATTTGGTAAACTTTGTGTGGCTCAAAATCATTCTTACTTTATTCTTACTTTATCAATTAATATCAACCAAACAAACTCACTTTTCTTAAAACACGTGCCACCATCTCCCGTCCCATTTAAAAGGGGACGAAGGGAGTATACCTTTTACTTCACGTCATATAAGTTGACGTACTCAATTGTGGTTTATTAATTCATGTGTTGGTCAGATTTGGCGAGGTTTTAAAAGAGGGGAGATTAATACTCCCTCCGGTTTTTAATAAACTTCACACTTTTCTTTTTGGGACGGTCTAAAATAAACTTCACACTTCCTTATTTCCTTTTTTGGCAAAGAAATCTACATCAAAACAGTGTCAAACAGTGTCTCAACAGTGCCAAACAGTGTCTCAACAGTGTCAAACAGTGCCTCAACAGTGTAATCTACAGTAAAGTTGAATTTATTTCCTTATTTTATGTGAAGTCAAAGTGTGAAGATTAAATAAAACGAGGAAAGATTCTTTTCTAGGCAACCGGGAAAAGGGAAAGTTAGGAGAAAGAAGTCATCATGATGACCAGAAAGCCAAGTGGAAGGCATGCCATGCTTGAAGAGTCTTGTCTGTTTAACCCAGAAAAGCAACACATAGCCTTTAAAGAACCCACCCATCATCACATTTCATCAGTCAAATGTTTGACAAGAAAGCTAACTTGTGCATGTTTCCAAAACCATACACTTCGCAATTAATTCACCATTTCTACTTTTCTTTTTTCCATTCCGATCCGGCCCGATGATGTGTCTTCAATCCTGATCCTTACCGCCGGCCAGTAAAAACGCCTGCCCAAAAATGCATGGATCCATATTTCGATACATTATCTATCTAATCATCATTGACCGATTGAAACAAAAAACAAAATGTGTAAGGCAGGCAATGATTATCCACTGATCTTTTAATTATTCCGATCGGATCCTGTTTGGAATCCACAGCGGTGGGTCGGGTTCTTGGTCTGGGCTGAGCCGGATACGGCGGCGGGTGACCAAATATCAGCGCCGTTATGAGGAGAATGAGTTGCTACAAGCCAAGTGCGGTCGACGGGGACGAGACAGAGTCCCCTGCTCCTTAATGTCATTCCGTCCCTGTTTTCTCCGCCGCCTCCGCCGCCTCCGCCGCCGTGGGGAATCGGCTGGTTCTTCAGATACGGGGAGCAGAGGGCTTGAATTTGATCATGCAGAAACTTTATGTAACTCTTGGATTCTTGAAGCACCGAAGCTGTATCTCCCTGCATGTTGTGGTTTCCATGGCTTAAAAAATACAGTAAAATAAAGAAATTTTTAAAATGCTTTGTAACTTTTAATTTAAGTTTAAAAATACTTTACTCTTTAGAGAATTCTCTTTTACGGAGTATTAAACAGTTGTACTCGAATGAAAAGATAGAAAAATTGGAGGACTATCTTACTTTGTTACATTTTAAGGCCGGGTGTCTGCATCTCTTATTAAAATTGTTTCTTAAAAATGTTTCTATTATTTTAGTGAGCAGAAATATATACTCCTTCCGTCTCGCAATTAAGTACAGTTTTACTTCACACATATCAAGAAAATGAATTTCATTTTACTGTTGAATGCACTGTTTTGCACTGTTTAAACACTGTTTGGACACTGTTTGACACTGCTGTTTTGATGTAGATAATTTCGGGACTGCCAAATAAGGAAAATTTTGAAGTGCGAAGTTAATTTCGAGACTGCCCAAAAAGAAAAATGAGAAGTTGTTTACGGGACGGAGGGAGTATTTGAGTGTTTTAGTGAAAGTGAAGAAGTATTTTTTAGGGCTCGAAAATATTTATAGAAATAGTTTGTTTTAAACTAGAAAACACAAGTTTCCGAAAAATGATTCTGATTCTACTTCCCCATTGAAAAGGGAAGCAAAAGCAAATCATTTCCAAACACTCTTAACTAATTACTAATGATAATACATAGTCATATACTTGTACAAGTTTCATTAGGAATTCTATTGAAGAGTAAGACTTCAAGATACAATAAAAATTCAAAGCTCGAAAGGAGAAAAGAATATTAGTATAGCTCAATTAGGAAGGCAGTATATATGTATGTTTTTCATTTAGTGCTAAAATATAGGGGGTGTTTGGATCTGATTCTCAAAACTGATTCTGCTCCTTCAGGGAGCAGAAGCAGAAGCTGGAGTGTTTGAGTGAAATTCCAGAAGCACTTCTGGAGCTCTAATTTACTCTCAGAATCAGTTTTTTTAGAAGCTGGGAGGTACCAGCTTCTGGAAACTGATTCTGATTCTGCTTCTGCTTTTAAAAAAGAAGCAGAAGCAGAATCAGTTCCAAACACCCCCATACTGCGTATGTAGTATTTTATTGTACTATACAAACCTTGCCAAAGGGTGACACAAGTTTCTGCAATGCTGCAATTCTATCTCCAAGACTCTCTCTCCTCTTTGCCTGCTGCAAACATATGCATAACTCTATAGTTGTTAATTACTAAGAAATGTTAATTTAAGCATGAATTGTCTTCATTAAATAAATAAATAAATAAATAAATAAATAAATAAATAAATAAATAAATAAATAAATAAATAAATAATTTAAGTAGCTGATCACCTTTGTGGCATGGGCACTCCCACTGGGCTTCTTCTTCTTGCAGTAGTTTCCCCTGTTTTGATTATCTACATCCTCCCTTTCCTCTCCATTATTTTTTCTCTTTTTCTTCAAGTTCTTAATCAAAGCAAATGGATTCAAATTAAGTTGATTTAAAAGAAGAAAAGGGGGTCCCAAGAAAAGGCCAATAAATAGAATCAGAAGATAATTATTAGCTTCTGCTTTAATTTGCATGTCACCTTGATGGGTCGTAAATCATCCTCTGTACCAAAACAGAGCATATTTGAAGAGTTAGGGTGGCCGGAGGAGGAAGAAGTGAAGTTGAGGCAGCCATCTGAGCCCATCCCAAGGCTCACAACGACGTCGTTAGCATCGAACAGTAGCTGGGAAAAGGTCCCGGCTCCTCCCACTGAGTCATCATCCGCCATTGCCGGCTTTCTCAGTGCATGCAGAATAATCAAGCTAAGTACGAGAGAAGAATAGAGAAGCTTAATTTTTGCAATTCCTATATAAAGTTCAAAGGTGGGGAGTAGGATGCGACAAGGCCGTAGCTAGCTGCTCATGTTTTCTTCTCTTTTGTGTAACTTAGGTTGTGCTTGCTACTTGCTAGCCTGCTAGGTAGGTGACTAAAAAATGGGCCAAAAATTAAAGCCGTTTGGTTCAAATAGGGGAGAAAATATAAATATCATAAATTTGGGGAGAAAAAAATGGGCCAACAATTAAAGCGCGTTTGATAATCATGTTTTTCGACTTATCAGATTTATCAGTCAACTTTTTCAAAAAACATATAATTTTTGATGAAATAATGACCCGTGTATTACTAATAGACTTTTGATTTCCACATATACGAGTCTTTTCATATTTTCCAAAAATATGATTATCTTCTTTGCCGTACCACTTCGTCGCCTCACCACCACTCACATTTTCACCGGTCAACTACGAATTGCCAATGCACGTCCTCCGTAAGTCCTCCGTAGCTTGCCGCAGCCCCCATCCAGCCAGAGTAGCCTAGATCCCGTCGTCTCCATCTTCTCTCCCTGTGAAGCATCAAAATCTCTCCCGTCTTCTCCATTTTCACTCCCAGCGAAGCATCAATCTATCCCAGCTAAACTTTAGTCATCTCTCTTCTCTGACCAGGATGCGTTGTCATCTATTCCATTGACGTTTTACGAAGCTCCGGTGCACCCATGGGAAATGACCTCCGCGATGAATGAAGATGATTCACAGGAGATATGTGAAAGTGGTGGTCAGATTTTCAGATCAACAATGCTAAAGGGATGAAAAGGGGGCTGGTCTTGTGGGGGCCAGGAGGGTGGCCGCCAAAGCGGGACAGGTGCAGGGTGGGCTGGTTTACTAGGTCTTAAGGTTACAAGTTTATTTTGGATTTTGGAAAGCTTTGGGCGTGGTAGGTCATGGCGGTGGGAGGTAGTTGGGGAACCATGGAGGGGAGCGGTGGACGAGGCCGTGCCTGGGTATGTAGGAATGGGTGTAGGGGAGGGGGGACTACGAACTGAGACTAGGGTAAGGGACTTAAGGGGACCAAAGGGGATGTCTGTGGGGTTGGCGGTGGCGGGGCGCTGACCGTGGTGTTGCCGCCGATGGAGTCAACGTGTCATTGTGGTCGGAGTCATTTTGATCGGAGTCACTGCGGCCTGAGTCATATTGGCCGAAGTCACATTGGCCGGAATCACTTTGTTCTACATGGTATAATGTGAAGTTGGTCATATTTTTGGAAATGTAAAAAAAGATGTCCGGGCTCGGCCCTGCTTTAGGTGAACCGGTCCAGCCGGTCCGGGCCGGTTTTTTTTTTTTTTTTTTTTTTTTTTTGAATTTTTTTTAGTTTTGGGTTGGATTAGGTATTTTGGGCCATTTGAGGTGGTTGGGGGTTGAGGGGGAGGGGTAGGGGGTTAAATAGGAGAACCAAAAAAAATGGACCGGTTTGGCCCGGCCCGGCCCGGCCCGGTTTGGCCCGGAACCGGCCACCGGCGGTTCGGGCTCGGGCCCCAGTTTTCTGGCCCGAGGCCCGGCCGGGCCCGAACCGGCCCGGGTCCACCCCTAGTGTGATGACAGTAGTGGGCTCCAGCCCAGCCCAATTTATTTTTTATTTTTATTATTAGTATATATGTATAGGTTTTGTTATCAGCCCACCCCAAATTAATTCTCAACCCACCCCAAAATTAATTCCCAACCCACAGCTCGGCCCAACTGAAGAAGAACGGAAGAAAGAAAATCTCAGAACCAAGAGCTTGGCAGTTTGCGACGACCTGCACTCCCCCTCACATTTGGTTTCCCCCCTTCAAAATCCTCCACTGCATCAAAGTGTTCTCCTTTCTTAGCAAAATGGCAGCTTCTTCCTTAAGTTCGTCCTTTCTGTCACCCTACACCCAACCCCAACCTAAACCTCAAATCCCTACGGCCGCCCGCTTCTTCACTCCGATTAAAGCTACTGCTCATTCCGACGAACCCGCCGCCACCCAAGCCCAAAAATACCGGCGCCCGGCTGACTTGAATATCCGCGAAGAGGCGCGACGGATCTGCTCATCCCACAACTTCTCCGCCCGCTACGTTCCCTTCAATGCCGATGCGGACTCCGACGAGTGGTATTCCCTCGACGAAATCGTCTATCGCAGCCGCTCAGGTGGATTGCTCGATGTCCAGCATGATATGGATGCTTTGAAGAAGTTCGATGGGCAGTACTGGCGCTCTCTGTTCGACTCTCGCGTCGGGAAGACCACGTGGCCATACGGCTCCGGCGTCTGGTCTAAGAAGGAGTGGGTCCTACCGGAAATCGACGGCGATGATATAGTGAGCGCCTTCGAGGGGAATTCCAACCTCTTCTGGGCAGAGCGTTACGGCAAACTGTTTCTAGGCATGAATGACCTGTGGGTCAAACACTGCGGCATTAGCCACACTGGAAGCTTCAAAGATCTGGGCATGACAGTTTTAGTTAGTCAGGTTAACCGGCTGAGGAAGATGAAGAAGCCAGTTGTAGGGGTGGGATGTGCCTCAACAGGGGACACCTCCGCTGCCCTATCTGCTTACTGTGCTTCCGCTGGTATCCCATCCATTGTCTTCCTGCCAGCAAATAGGATATCCCTTGCCCAATTGGTTCAGCCCATTGCAAACGGGGCATTCGTGTTGAGCATAGACACTGACTTCGATGGCTGTATGCAGTTGATTCGCGAAGTCACTTCAGAATTACCCATTTACCTGGCCAATTCCCTAAACAGCCTGAGACTAGAGGGTCAAAAGACAGCAGCCATTGAAATTCTGCAGCAATTTGACTGGCAGGTTCCAGATTGGGTCATAGTTCCGGGTGGAAACCTTGGGAATATCTGTGCATTTTATAAAGGGTTCCACATGTGCAAAGAATTAGGTCTCGTCGATAGGATTCCTAGGCTTGTTTGTGCTCAGGCGGCGAATGCCAATCCTCTCTATCTCCATTACAAATCAGGCTGGAAGGATTTTAAAGCTGTAAAGGCAAGTTCTACTTTTGCTTCTGCCATTCAGATTGGTGACCCTGTATCTATTGATAGAGCTGTTTTCGCGCTGAAAAATTGCAATGGCATTGTAGAAGAGGCTACAGAGGAGGAACTGATGGATGCCACAGCTCAGGCAGACTCAACAGGGATGTTCATATGCCCTCACACTGGTGTGGCATTGACTGCCTTGATCAAATTAAGGAATAAAGGGGTTATCGGGCCGACTGATAGGACTGTGGTGGTTAGTACAGCTCATGGCCTGAAGTTTACTCAATCAAAGATTGATTATCACTCACATGCCATAAAGGACTTGGCTTGCCAGTATGCAAACCCGCCTGTGCAGGTCAAGGCTGATTTTGGTTCTGTCATGGATGTTCTTAAGAAATATTTGTTGAGCAAAGAATCCAAGCACTAGGTCTTTCTTTGATTCTTGGATGGAAATTTTAACTTCTGCTCATGTATTAGTAGCACTACTGTCTTCTACTGGTTTTTCAAACTTTGTTTACTTGCCATGTGGATTTATTTGGAATAAATTATAGTGCATGGAATGCTCCAAAACTTATTGTGCAGGTTCTAAACAAGTCAGCATGCTAGGTTTTGGACTTGTGCATATCTTCTTCAACATATCTAATGCGAGCATCCTGTCTTGAACTATTTTGGCTCCATATGTTTTAGCTTTTGTTGCTTTAATTACACATGAAAATGATGTTGTTGCCTCACTGCAGCTAGGTGACATACATGCATTACTGAGGTATATTGAGTTTGATACCTGCCTCCAATAAGGTGATTATGAATTTTGTTTATTTTTATAAAAATTTGTTGTTTTAATCATTAATTTCTTCTTTACATATATGAAGTGCTATTTTGACTTTTTTAATTACATTGTTAAATTTTTAAAATGAATATTTTCCTTAAAAAATTTAAGTTTTCAAACATGTCACAGTCAATTTGTCACAAAAATATAAATTTCGCAATAGCATTTTGTCTCACGATTGTTATTGCTAAACTCACCACTACAGTTGGTTTTTTTGTGCTCCACTTCATACTAACAGTTACTCCATATGACAAAGGAATCTCAAGCAGTTTGTAGTTTGCTAGTGAACATCTTTTGGGGTGTGGCGGAGGCTCTGATCTGAAAGGATCCATAACTTGTTTTAGGTGTATATCAATATGTTAACTACTATAGAAGTAAATTATGGTTAACTGATGCAGCTGTTCAATATAATTATATGAACTTGTAATCAGCCCGTATTAACTGTTGAATATTAATATACCCTTTGACATATTCCCTCTAAAAGTTTGGCTTGTTTGGAACTATTTCTTGTATTCTCATAGGCAGTTACAATTTATTTCATCAAATATAATGATCGTTGGGTCATAAACGCGTTATCCTAACATCGATCTTTCATGAAACTGAGTGATATCTGACGTTGAATACATGACGTGGTTTGGTTAGTAGTCAACATTTCATTGCCATGGTAACATATTGCACTGCCATACGGGTGATGGATTCTCACACTATTGTGAAATCAGGATAATTTTTCTAAGGGCTTCATATACATATATATTATGCATTCTTTATGGTAGCTGTGCAATGCATATATAAAACATAAGAGCTCAGAGCTACCGGTTTCATCAAATAGAATGTCGATCTTCATTTCTCAAAACTCAACATGGGTCCATTTGAGCATGCTTTGTTCAGGCTTGAATTATCAATGCAATTTCTTCTATCGGGGGCCTTTAGAGCTTGCACATGGTGCAAGATATGCACATGATCTTGTAAAAGCTTTCCAGCTATCAAAGCAAGTTGATCCTGATGACTTGAAAAAACTTGCTCGTAGCTTCATGGCAATGGTTAATCAGGGAATTGAATAAGCTCATGTTTGATGAAGACAAATCAGATTCAAAGAATCAGCCAAACAGGGGGTAATAATGCCTCTCAGCAGTAGCAGATGGCTGTGGCAGCTTCTTTGGCTGCCACTGCTACTAACAAAGAAGACATGGCTCAGCCTGCATGTCCAGTCCCATCTACTCTTCAGCTGCAACAGCCTCATAGTGGAGTACCTGGTTCCTATGTCAATATTCTCATTCAAGGTAATGGATTGCCAACAACCCCTGATGATGTATCAGCAATGACTGCA